CAGCTCTTCTGCAGCCCGCGGTTCAGCAGCGACACCGCCTCCGCGAAGCGCCCGCCGCCGATGAGCCCGTACACCACGGCCGTGTGCTGCCCGTCGGGAACCCGCGCGGCCTCCATGGCCGGCCACGGCACTGCCGCGGCGAGGCGGAAGCGGGGCCCTCGCTGCCATGGCAACGGCGCCGTCGGGGCGGAAGTGCTCCCATGCGGGCGGGCGCTGCCCCGGAAGCGGCGGCGCGCGCGGGGCCGTGTGGCGGGGATTGCGGCGGGTGCCGTGCCCGGGCCTGACGCTCCGCTCTGCCGCCACTGGGAGCCGCGTCCTCTGCGTTTGCCCGCCCTCCTCTGCTCCCCTCCCTGCGCCCGTCACCCGAGCACTGACACGACGCGTGCAGTGCCGGTTCCGAACTGCCGCAAAGAGCTGGAGCCTCCCGAGATCGCTGCCTGTTCACCTGATTTCAGGATCTCGTGCAGCTGGGAGGAATTAAGAGTAAAAATCAGCTCCTGTATTCTAAATGCTGTGTAATAGTTCCCTTAAGAAGTAAGTGGTGTAAAAGCAGGCTCTAAGCTAAACACGTCGCCCAGGGCAGGAAGCATTAAACTTCTGTCTTGGGCTTTGTCAACATGAAACATCTCCTTTACAGCCCATCAAGATCCAAAGTTGATTAAGCTGGTGGATGGCAGGAAGTGTGTCTTGGCACAATCCGACGGCTTTCCTGCAGATTTCAAAAGCAGAAGAAATTCCAATTTACTCAACAATGTAACTGTGCTTTGGCAGTACTTATTTCCCACGATGGCATTCCTACTGACCAGTGATACTCTGGACCACAGACTGTGTAATTTCTGTACATGTGAATAGTTCCTTTAGGGTCACCAGACAAATCTGGTTTCTGGTCATTCCAGACTAATGCCAGGCATATCCACTGGTTTGCCCCCAGGAATGAGTGCTGCAAGGGTGTGTCAAAAATCGTATCTGGGCCGTATCTGGGCCGCTCAGTCTCGCATGTTTTCAGGATCTTCTGTTTGTGTGATTCAGTAATCAATAGATACAGCTCTGGCTGATCCCAACCAGTTTCAGAGAAAAGTAATATAAAAAAGAAAATCATAGCAAGCCATTAAAATGATTTATTTTTTTAAAGACCAGTAAACCCAGTTGCTAATTTCAAAAGCATGCTTTGAAAGCTGAACCAGCACAGTTTGATTTACTAAGCAAAACAATAAGACTAATGCTTTTAAGATTCAGGGAAAAAAAGAAGGAAAAAGATGCAGAAGTCTTTTAAGTTATACATTTGTGAGTCTCTGGGATTCACTTGCCTTAGAACAGACACATGGTATTTCTGTGCATCTATCAGCTGTCTCCCACAGGTAAAGGTTTAGAGTTTATAATGATATTCCCCAGAAAATTGAAAGATGCAATGGCCAACATGCTTAAAAATTTGTAGTTAAATATAAAGTAATCCAAGAAAGAAAAGGTAGCAAGCAATATACAGGATGTATTCCATTAATGGCACATTCCAGTGATGGGAATCTCTGGGGCATCTCAATTCAGCAGATTATACATCCCACTTCATTGCTATGTTAGAAACTGTTCACATGATTTTGCTCTTTGAAAACTCTTCCTTTGAAAAAGCCAGTAAAAAAACCCTTCTTGTTCTATATTTTCTTGCCCAGAACACTAGGTATTGAAGTGCCTATTAGTATGTTTTATGTATCTTTGAAATAAACCTGTTTTAAAATTTCACTCATTGCACAAATGCCTTATCAGGAACTAAAATAGTTTTAATTTTATAAAGGGAAAATAAGTATTTGTCCCGTAGACTGAAACACTCCTGTTTTTCCTAGAATGAATTCATCTAAATAATACAAATTACATTAGGCACTACTGGTTGCAGTTTTCAAAAATAATTTGTGAGTACTAGTATTGGCTTTGTGGGTAACTACAGGCACATTATGAGATTGGAGTGCACTCTAAGAAGGAGCGATTAGCAAGGTCACCAGACCAGAAAAATGCAGCTGCTGTGCCAAGGACACCATCTGAAGAAATACCTGAGCTAAAATGAAACATACTTGTGTATGCTGTGGTTACAAAACATACAACTGACCATCTTGGCAAGACCCCTGGCCCTGTAAATAGCAGGGGTTGGCTGAGACAGAGCTGTGTGGAGAGTTCTGTGCCTGCCTGCCACGTGAGGCATCCAGTTTAAACCTCAGTGAGCTGCTGCTGCCTGACCTTGTGCAGCTCTGCTTTGGAGCAGGAGCAAAACCACATCCTGACAAGCAGAATCTGCATCTCCATCACATTATGAAGCTGTTTTCTTGTCTCTAGGTCCCAGGCTGGGAGGGAATTGTCTGGTTTCACTACTTGACCTATGGCCAAAGACACATTTTGGACATTTTGTTCTTGGGAGGTTCTTCTGTCTCAACCTCAGGTTGAGCCTCTACCCCAGATGCTCCTTGCCTTGAACAGTGTTTGGTTTTCTGGTGGGGTCACAGTGTTGTCTTGAAGGGGAGCACTTTAGTCCAAGGGGGTGCACATAGAAGACCTGAGGTCTTCCACCAAAGCCTGTCTCCTCCATGCCCCTCCCAGGGGTGAAGCCAAAATTGGGGTTGTATCCAGTGGGCATCCTTGTCTTCTTGCTGAGCACATGAAAGGGACTTTGGCAGAAGGGCAGGAGACAAGCCCACCCTTGTTACTTGCCACCAGCTGGTGGGGCAGATGCACCTGCAGTTCAGAAGCCTGCTCAAAATCCAGCAGGATTTGAAATCAAGCTCCTTCCTGATTAGCGTTTGCAATTGTAGAACATTTATGGTGGGTTTTTAAAATTATTGTTTTATTTGGGTTTTGTGAGGAAAGAGTGATTTTGGTAAGTGGTTTCACAGGTGGGAATCCCGAGTGAAATTACTGTTTGGCCTGAACTACCTTTGAGGGTGGGGATGAAGACCTAGATCTTCTCGTGAGCATTTTTTGGTGACAAAATTAAGGCTGCTGCCTGGCTCTTGTGTGACATCAAGGCCTGTAATTCATGGGCATGGAAACCTAATTGAATTCAGGCTGCAGTTGGCACAAGTCAGTAGGAAACCTAGAAAAAAGACATTGCCACAACCAAGCCGAGGCACCTTTGGGTGTCCTATGGACAATCCATGTGCCCATCAAATTTTAGCACTGGAACTGTAAATGCTAGAGGCCTCGTTCAAGGCTATTTTTCCAGTTACAGCTGGGGCAAAGAAATGGTGACTTGTCTTTTGCTGATGTGCTGGGCATCTCAAGGAAAAGGCCAAGCAGCACTGTCCTGGGTAACACTTGTGTTCTGCACGTGCTCTCTTGATTTGTCCTTGCCTCTTGTGGGCCCGTGTTTTATATGCATTCACAAAATTAGGCTGATTTAAATGTTTTTTTTTTTTTAATGTCTCCTTGTTCAGCAGGCAGAGAATGAGATTAAATAACCTACACAATCACATCTCTTGTGCATATCTCAGAAAATTTGGCAGCAATTTTGGCAGAAATTACTGAAATACTGGGAAACTTTCCCTCTCAGAAATAATGAAAAGCAAATACAATTTCTGATCAAGTTTATAAGCAGTAGCTAAAAAGGAAAAAGTGTTTTCCACAATCTTAAAATATAATAGACTTGAAATATGTTTTTTTACTATACTACATGCTTCCACAAAGAATCATCTTTTTATCTTTTTTTTTTTTTTTCTGTTTCCTAAGCTAAGTCTTAAAAAGGGAAGATACGGTTTTTGTTTGTTTAGTTGGTTGGTTTTTTAAAGATTGAGCTATATGACTTTCAGAGACCGAATGCTGTTCTGAGATGTACTACTGGGCCCCCCAGTTTCAGTAGGGTTGCTTCATTTTGCCTGAGAACAATTTGATAAGATCAAGCCGTGTGCTCTCATTTTCTTCCTTGTGATGGAGGAACAGAACCATAACATTAGTCAGCAGTTTCTGAATTTTGACCCACAATGGCAAAGATACCAAAAGACAGGAGAAATAGATGGAGGCAATTACAAACAGTCACTTGATTGATGGTTGACATTGTTAGGGCTTCAGCTGTGTGTCAGGGTGCTGCCGAGTCCATCCCTGCCAGTGGGTGTTGCCATGGGCAACAGTGCACTGAAGCCAATAAAAAGGAGAGGAAATGAGGGGAGACTCAACCTTCGGGGAGGCTGTAGGGTACGCATTATAAATTATGTTATACTTAGCAGTATGCAATATCAAAATTCAGGAAAGCCGTGTGTACCTGCCAGCAGTACTGTCGGTTCCTAGTAGCTGTTTTTCCCATAAAGTCCGTGTTGTATGGCTTGCTGCTTACTAAACTGCATCTGGCTTTATTCAGAGAAGAAAGAAGTGGTAAAAGAACAGCAGAAACATTTCCATCACTGCTGTGCAGTTTGCATTTCTGCTCCTTCCCTGCTTCCTTCTGCTAGAGAGTGATGTGGTTCAGTTGTGCACTAACAGATTGGCTCACAAAGCTACTGAATTTCCAGCTATTGTCCTACACAACATTAGAAGCACAGAGCATTTTTGTTTTGTTGTGTTTCTTTTAAAGAAGGGATCAGCAGATTTGTTGTTTCTGTTTGATTGTCAGATAGATGTGGTCAGCTTTTCTAAGGCTCTAACAACTCAGTTTCCTTAGAAAGGAGAAAAGCTCTTTTAACATCTGGTTAGCTGGGCTAAGTTCTGATTTCCATTGAGCTGGTGCCAATTCAAGGTAATTCCACTGAAGTAAATGGAGTTTGGCACAGGTGTAAAATTAAGCTGAATTCAGCTTTAATTTCTGCTGCCAGACAACCCTATATTTAGAGTCCAATTTTTCATGGAGTACAAAGGCTTTTTTTCCCCCTATGAATGGGCACTCATAAGCACTGCAACTTGAGCCCTCTTGTGTCTGGTCATGCAGCAGAAAAAGCACCCTCAAATCACAGATCACAGGTTTGCTGCATTAGTGATCTAATGGAAGGAGACCAACTTTCTGGTAATACTAGGGTCATCACAAAGAGACATGTTTGGTTTTGTGACCCATCATATTTGATTAGATTTTTAGGGACACCTTTACCATAGATGTAGACATATGAGCCCTGACTAGTGCTGTGCTGCCTGTAGCAATAGCATTTGAAATTGTAGTGGAAGAACTGTAAGAGAGTAAGGGGTAGTCGGTCCAGTGTGATGATACTCCTCCACCATTTCAAAATGCTAATTTCAACTGGAAATTATACTAGAAAGGCTTATTCATTAACTGCTTTTCAATGTAATATAAACCTGCAGCACAAAGCAACAGATTTCCTTTTTTATTTGTAGTCTATTTTCAAAAAAAACCATTAATCTTTTCCTTAGGTGATACTATAATTTAAAAAAAATGAATGTTACAAGACCATTTTTTAAAAGGAAAAAGAAGTACTCTAAAATTACTATGCAATATTCTGCCTTTATGCAAACTTCCTCTTGCTGAAAAATTTGCTGCACTGTTAATATGAATTTCTCAGGGAAGAAGGGACAGCTCAGTGTTTTTAAAGATAATAAAGTTTGTTTTTAAATGTAGCAAAGGTAGGCAATTCTAAAGGCCCTGATCAATCACTAAGAAGCTTTGTTGTAAAAAAATACTTCTTCAGAATACAAAGCAGGCTTTTTAGAACATTCAGGCATAAAAGAGGAGGGAGAGTAAGAGAGGAGCATCACAAAAGCAGGCATAATTGATTCATAACATGTACTGAAGAGATGCAAAACAACAATGTAATTACACACCATTCTGTTTTCTGCAGCTCCTTGCATATGAATTGGCCAGCTTGCATCCCAGTCCTGCTCTGTATTATTAATTTTATTAAGCTGCGAGTTCTTATATTTCAGTCTGTTGTCAGCTTTACAGGTTTTTACAGCAGCAGTTGAAATGTAGTGGAGCTGAATGAACGCTTCTTCTGTTCAGTGTTCCACGTCGCTCCAGATACCAAGGCAATCCCACTGCAGGCTTCCCCTCAGTCCCGCTAAGCCTTCCAGGAAAAGCAAACTATGCTGCCATCAAGATAATATCTGATCAATTAAGCATGTCTGGGAAAGCATTTCTTAAAAAATGGTGGGTCTAAGCTTATGAAAACCTTTCAGAAAGCTCTTATTGTAAAGTGACGTTGATATTTGCAGGCTTAATTTATGTCTTTGAGAGACATGGTGAGGCTAGAGGAAAAGGAGGACAAGGATGCCGCCTGGGAAGGAAGTCTTTTTTGGTGCAGCTCCTCCCATTTACCTCTGTTTACTGCTATGGAGTCCAGCATAGGCTTCAGCTTCACATTCAGCTTCACTAGACACTGGAAGAAGATTAAAAAGAGGATGAGAGAAGAAATACTGACAGTATATCCACTCCTTTGAAGGACAGTCCATGGCATAACAGGGGGAAAAAAGAGTTTAATCTGCACTATGCCCTTACCCTCCTCACTCCCAACAGTAAATACCTATGGAGCTAAATTTATTGTTCCCACTGAGTTATCTTTATCTATCTGACTCGTTTTACATAAGGCTTTAGGCCATCATAAATGTAAAAAAAGGCACATAAAATAGCAGAGATACTACTTTAGCTTTTTTGCAATCCTTAAAGATTTGAGGGATCCCCAAGTGCCTGAGGCTACCAGCTATGGCATCTATGAGCAGGAAGTCCACTGGCTGTACTACAAGCTGGACAAAGCTGAAATAATCTCCCTAGTGCTAGATTATTTTTTCATCTAGATGACTGAACCACAACACTGTGCTTTCCCAAGCTGGCAGAAAAAACAATTAGTGTGTGCTCAAAATAAAGAAATAAAAATGAGTTTTCTTTGAGGCTGCACTGAAATCACCTCTTCTCTAAATACCCAGTCCAAAGCTAACAAAGGTCAGTAAGAATCTTTGATCTGGTTTAATCTAGTTTTGAATACATCCTCAAATTATGCAATTCCTGCATACCTTTGCTACAAGTTTATTTTACCTTCCCCTTTAATATCACATGCTTATGTGCAAAGACCAGAAGTGCTTCACTAGGTTTTGTATCTATATTAAAGAGAGACACAAATTAACAGCAGGATGTCAGGAAAGGGTTAACCAGTTGCCTCCCAAGCGGCCGTGTAATGTGTTCTTTCAGGACAGAGAAGTGTTCTTTTGCAGCTTTTCTGATTAGCAAGCAGTGGCTTTTGCTGAAAGCTGGGCAGCATGCTTTCTCCTATAGCATGGAAACTGTATTTGTCATTGGAAAGAAAGGAATGGTGTCAGATTAAAGACCAAAAAGGACAAAGACAGCAGAAGTTGTCTTTCTTAAAGTGCAGAAAATTCTAAGAAAACGAAAGGAAAGGGGAAGCAGGTACCTTTGCAGTTGATCAGTTTTTGCTTTAAATAGCAAGGTTAACAGCAATTGCTTTAAATGGTCCCCAGAGCCCAGACACCACTAAAGAACTGGATTTTTTTATAGCTAGATTGGAAGCCATGGGATCTTGCCTTGTAGTAAGTCTTGGTAGATTTTTAATTGAGCTATTATATGATAATTAAGGGTTAATGGCCTGATTTTAAGATGTGCTGAAAACTTGCAGTTTCAGTTGACTTCAGTAGGAAATATGAATGCTCAGCACTTATGAAAAATCACATCATGAGGAAGAAGCTGGAACTTGAATCAAATCCACTTCAAATTATTTCCTTAGAATATGGCCCAGACTGGGCAGATAATTTTGCAATCTTGGTCTTGGGATAGGAGGCAGAGTTCACTGCAGTCTCTGCCCAATAGAGCATTGCTTGCTGCTCATGGTCATTCATTTTATAGAATGGATAAGGATTTTTAATATTCCCATCACCATGCCTCACAACTCTGCATTTTTATATCTTTATTTCAGACTTTTGTGTATTCCTTAAACCTTATTTGGTAGAGTCTAAAACACAGGGACATTAATGCATTATAAACAGCTGAAAGTATCTGAAAAGCTCACTGCCATGACCATTAGCACCTGTATTACCAGCTCAGTGTCTAGAGGTAGCACATGAGATGCTCAGCCCTTGATAGCAACATATCAGATCCTTTCTGTGCACAGCCAGTAGCTTCAAAACGGTTTTGTGATGTATTTTTCCAATATACACCTTAGATTTAAAAAATTTTAGATAAATCAATAATAAAAAAATATATGTAAGCAAACAGCCCGGTGGTTAAATCACTATTTAAAAATCAGTATGCTTCAAACATCTCTAAGCACAAGGAGGTTCTGCACTCACATCCTGTCAGTCCCAGGATCTGTAAGTACAAAATGCAGTGCAGGCTGTTCCTATATATATAGCATATGTACTATATATAGTGTATATATAGTACATGTAGTGTGTACATATATATATATACAAACACACACACACACTATATGCAGGAACCTATAGCAGCTCCAGGCAGCAGAGAGAAGATGGAGCTCACTGGGGCTGCAGACTCTGTCTCAGTGTGGCTGTGCAGCTCTCGATTATGTCTGTGTCCTTTCTGTGACCTTGCTTTTTTGCCAAGACTGACCACAAGACCGTGATGTTTTCCAGCCTAGTGCCAGGGAGCAATTGCAGAGGTCTGGGCCTGACCTCCTGCTGTGCCTGTCCCTCCAGGCCTTGGCATCTGCCGTGGCTTATGGCAGGAGACAGCCCTGTCACGTACTGTGCCAGGATGGCTGCGAGTGCTTGAGATGCTTACAGCAATTAGCTTTGCTTCGACTACTGCAGGGACCAGGAGCCCAGGCAGACTGGGAGCAGATTCAGGAAGCACCCCCACAGTTCTATGGTAATCACTGTTATCTTATGAGCTGTAAACATATTTTAAACCTGTAAGTAAAGACGCATGTATTTCTTCAAAATATAGATCTAAGCGGAGATTAGAGTCTAATAACCCAGATTCAACAGAGGCTACCAGGTAAATAACAAGAATGGTTAACTACTAACATTAACTTTGATGAAATAGATTATAAGAAGTATTTATAAAGAATAAAGCATGTCTTTGATATTAATTTTTCCCACAGCACCAGCAATTAATTCAATAGAATAAGTACGAAATATATAGTGTAATTTTAAGAAACTTTATTTTGTCACACATTAATTTAGATCAGTGATACTTGACAGTGCAGATTTTGCACTTGGTCTATAAAATGTCTTTATTCAGACATTGATTTGATGTTTGAACCACTGCTTCTGTATTTACTATCCTTTCACTTTGGGACTTTTTCATTCTGATCTAGTCTTTTAATTAAACTGACTACTATAATTCCTATGGAAATTAGCTTTTATTTTATTTTTTCCAGCTACCAAAGCATTTCAGTAGGGCTTCTCTGATACAAAGTGCACAAATTGGATTTTATTTCTTCTCGAGATGTAATTAAAAACTCATTTGATTACTATATATCTGGCCCTGTTTTAATTATTAAACTCCAGTAATCAATTTGCTTTTATGAAGCTTCTGGGAAATTATCTCAAAAGCAACATATTTCTCTCCCTTCTGTCAGGGTCTGGACCATTTACTGAATTACATTCATTGCACCTGTTCCTGATCCGGATTAAACCACCAATTTATTCCCAAAGCTCTTTAAGTTTATTTGGCTATAGCCTTGTCAGGGTTTTCCACCTCCTGGCTTCAGTTTTTGCTTTCCACTTTATTGCATGAGAACCCCTTGATGTACTGCTCCTCCATGCCACTATTTTTGATGCATGCTTCTTACAAACAGCTTTGCTAGTGATCTGTCTAATTTGGTGTCGAGGTTCTTAATGCCTTATTTATTACTTGCCTTCCTAGGAAAAGGCTTGGTCTTCACCAGCTGTCAGACACGGGATACCATCACACAAGCTCAGTAGCTGCAGAAACGCCCTGTTCCTGTCCCTGCTTGGCGCAGCGGGCGGGCTGGGAGCTGGTAGGCAGCTGGGCTCGGGAGAGGGAACCCCTGCCTGGGGGAGTTTCTGTCTCCCGAGGCCTGGGACCTCACTGCCCACTTGCAGTCCTTCCACTGCAGTGCACCAGCCTTGCTACACAGCAATAGGTACAGGATTGGTGACCTTTCCCATTCTACCCCCTTTACTGTAAAAGCTGTTCTTAGTCGCAGAGTGATAAAGCGTGGGGGACACACTGCCTGCTGCAGCAGTGGGAAAAGCCAGAGTTTTGCAGTTCCCTTCTGCATCCAAGTATTGTTACCTCAGATGTGTGAATAAGTTGTTTGTCAGAAAGTTACTGTATAGCAGAGCCTTTTTATTAGCACCTTCAATTATTTAGATGTCTTTTGGGACTGTGTACTACTCTGCCCACAGCATTCTTTCCCAAGGTATAGCTCTGCTTACCTATAAGCTCCTCCAGCACAAGAAAAGGTTAAAGGCACTTCAGCAGTACATTATGTGCACCTGGGAGAGGGGTAGGGCTGCCTGAAGGAAGAGCTCAAAATGGGGAAGAGCATAAGATACTCAGAGGAAGTTATTTATGGGAAAAGGAGGGCAGAGTGTTTTGTTTCCTTTCTTTCCTTGTGTATAGAGGTGTATATTTTGATAGATAAAGCATATAGAATGCAGAAACAGTACTAATAGAAACAAACCCTTTCAGGGAGAGGGTGATGGGGAGCGTTGGAGGCATTTGTTTGTACCTATGAGTACCAACTTCTGGTGTTGAAGTGAGGTGGGGGGGGAAGAAAACTTCATCTGCTACATCACCTTCATCTCTGGGAAAGGATATTAGTGAAACAGCCGAGATGCAGCACAGATGTGGTCAGAGACTAAACTGTTGCTAAAGCAAATAGAAAATTTTGTTGTATTCTAAGACTAGTACCATATCTCTTTAAAGAGGAGCACAATTTGTCCTAACTTACAAACACTGCAGGACTTCCAGAGTATATACTTTTCTTTTTGCCCCCTCCCTGCTGGAGATTCTCATCCAAATATTGACCAATTCTGACCTTGCTTAACTTATGAGCTTTGACAAGATTACAACTCATGAAAGTATGGTTGCGGGGCTAATATTTGTAAAGTGAGTTTATGGAATAAGACCATATAAATTCATTTTTATGACTGAGCACATATAAAAAAGTTATAGGTCTCAGTGTTCACTCTACTTTGGAACCCAGTGGTTTCTAATGAATCACTTTTATTATGTAGGCAGTTTCTTAGTTGGAAGGGAGGACCAGTGACCAAGAAGCCATGGGGATAAATTCAGACTCGGTGTAAGCATATGAAGCATTGTTGAAGTCAAGAGAGTCATGACCAGCTACAGCAAAGCTGAATTGGACTCCTGAGTTTTGCTGAAGTGGCTTTCACATAAGAATACATAGGCCAAAGGTGAGCCATCTATCTGAAAGTC